GGGGCTGGGAGCGGGCGGGTTTGGGGTGCGCTTGGGTGAGTTTGGGGTGAGTTTAGGTGGTTTTGGGGTGATTTTGTGGTGTTTTCGGGGTGCAGGTTGGCTGCTGTGGGGTGCTGGGGCAGGAGGTGGTGGAGGGTTGGGACGAGATGGGTTTGCGCGGTTTCGGGGTGAGTTTAGGTGTTTTTGGGGTGAGTTTCAGTGGTTTGGGGATGTTTTTGGGGTGCAGGCTGGCGGTTGTGGGGTGCTGGGCCAGGGGGTGGTGGAGGGTCGGGACCGGGTGGGTTTGGCATGAGTTTGGATGAATTTGGGGTGGTTTTGGGGTGGTTTTGGGGTGAGTTTTGGTGGTTTTGGGATGGTTTAGGGTGGTTTTGGGGTTCAGGCTGGTGGTTGTGGGGTGCTGGGCCAGGGGGTGGTGGAGGGTCGGGACGGGGTGGTTTTGGGGTGAGTTTCAGAGGTTTTAGGGTGAGTTTGGGGTGTTTTTGGGGTGAGTTTCAGAGGTTTTGGGGTGAGTTTGGGGTGGCTTTGGGGTGTTTTTGGGGTGTTTTAGGGCTTTGGGTGGGACGCTGGGTGTTGTGAGGGTGCTGGGGGGCGGGCTCGGGGTGTCGGGGGTGTTTTGGGGTGCTGCAGGTGGGCGCTGAGCAATGGGACCCTCCTGTGCTGGGGGAAGTGTCCCAGAGCACTGGGAGCACTGGGAGCACTGGGAGCACTGTCCCCACTCATCCCCGTGCCTCAGTTTCCCCCCGCTCGCAGCCCGGGGCGGGGCGGGGGGGCCGCTCTCAGCCCCACCCGCCATGCCGGGGGTCCCGCTGCCCTTCGTCCTCCTCCTCCTCCTCCTCGCCGGGACCCCCGCCCGCTCCTTCCCGCGGGACCTGGTGGCCCGCAGCACCGTGGGGCTCGCAGGTGAGCGGGGCTCGGGGGGCTCGGGGGGCTCGGGGCGCTGCTCCGGGGGGCTCGGGGGGCTGCCCCGGGGTCTCACCGCGCCCTCCCGCAGCCACGGCCGCCTACCCGCGCTTCGGGGGTCTCCGGGGGGACAACGGCACGGCTCGGCTCGGCCTGGCCTTCCAGCGGATGCTGCGGCTCAACGGGACGCTGCTCGTGGCTGCCCGGTGAGCGCGGCGGGGCTCGCCGGTACCGGGACGGGGCTCCCGTGTTCGAGCACCCTCAGCGGTGCTTGTGCAAGGGTTTGCACGCTCCTTGTCGGGGCTTCCCCCCGGCGGGACCCCGCAGTCCCCTGGGCGTGTTGTCGCCGTGGCGCTTTGCACACCCCCGTGTCCTTTTGCACACCCCCGTGTTCCTTTGCACGCCCCCATGTCACCTTGCACACCCCTGAGTCGACTTGCACATCCCCGTGTCCCTTTGCACACTCCTGAGTCCCTTTGCACATCCCTGCGCCCCCTTGCACGCCCCCGTGCCCCCTTGCACACTCACGCCCCTCCCCAGGGATCACATCTACGCCTTCGACCTGCGGCAGGACCGGGGGTCGCTGTACCCGGAGCGGGTAAGGGGGGCACGGGGACACGGGGGGCACGGGGGACACGGGGCGGGGGTCGCGGTGAATTTGGGGAGCGGAGATCCGGAATGGGGGGATTGGGGTGCGGGGTTTTGGGGCGCGGGGATTTGAGATGCGGGGTTCGGGGTACAAAGGGCGCTGAGGCGGGGGTCCCCGCGTGTCCCCCCCCCAGGACGAGTGTCACAATTACATCCGGGTGCTGGTGCCCCGCGACGCCGAGACCCTGCTGGCCTGCGGCACCAACGCCTTCAGCCCCCTGTGCCGCACCTACCAGGTGGGGGGCCCGGGGCTGGCGACCCCCGGGCTCAGGGGGGCTCGCAGCCCGCCTGGGTGGGCTTGGGGGTCTCAGCCGTGTCCGTGCCGGCGGTGGGGGCGGCACAAGGGGGTGCTGGGTGTTTGGGGGGGGGTCTCACGGCCTCTGGTGCCCCCCCAGGTGAGCAGCCTGGCGCAGCAGGGTGACGAGGTCAGCGGCCAGGCGCGGTGCCCCTTTGATGCCAAGCAGAGCATCGTGGCCCTCTTTGTCGGTGGGTGCTGGGCAGGGGGGGGACACGGGGGACCCGGGGGGGCACGGGGGTGACCCGGTGTGTCCCCCCCCCCCAGACCCAGATGGCAGCCTGTACTCGGCCACGGTGGCCGATTTCCAGGCGAGTGATGCCGTGATCTACCGCAGCCTGAGCCCCGGGCAGGCCCACCTGCGCACCCTCAAATACAGCTCCCGCTGGCTGCAGGGTACCCCGAAGTGGGGAGGGGTCTGTGGGGGTGGGAAGGGGGTCTGTGGGGGTCTGTGGGGGTGG